TTGCATATATTTTATTGAATATTTTTTCACCTTTGCTCTTAAGTGCTGCCTTATTTATAATTGCCCAAAACTGGGAACAACCTAGATGTCCCACAATAGAAAAACTGATAAAGAAAATGTGGTGCATTTACACAATGGGGTATTACTCAGCTGTTTAAAAAGTAGCATCATGAAATTTTCAGGCAAATGTATAGAATTAGAAAAAACTCATCCTAAGTAAGGTAGCCCAGACTCAGAAAGATAAATATGGTACGCATCAATTCACTTATATGTGGATATTAGTCATTAAATAAATGATGACCAACATACAATCCATAGACCCAGAAAGATTATGTATAGAGGAGGGACTTAGGGGACACATGGGGAGGGAAATAGAATAGGTTTTACAGGTAGGCTGGGGGCAAGTGGGGACAGAAACAGAAGGATCAGGTGGAGAGGGGGAGGGGAGAAGGGTTGAAGGAGGGAATTTGAGGAGAGACAGCAGAAATTGAGGGACATTTGAGGAATTATATGGAAGCCTACTGCAGTAGAAACTTCCTAAAGTACATAAAGATGCTCCCAATGAGGTCTCCTAATAATGGGGTTCATGGAATCCCAACTTGTTTTGTCACCAAACAAGGCTTCCAGTACCAGAACTGGGTTGCATTTATTTGACATGGAAATCCCCAGTCAACCCAGGCTGATGCTAAGAAAAAGGTTGCTCTCTGCCAACTGAGTGGGGCCCCACTGCTAAGGACAATAGCTGCATAACTGATTGGACATGAAGTTTCAACTGGTACCCACATGGATTCTTCATCCCTACATTCTTGTGTCTTTGGTGTAAGAAGGCACTCTGCAGGCTACCAAAAGAGAAACCTGAAAACCAACCTGAAGCACAATTAATAAAACTCAGAGACAGAAATTGGCATTCAACCTGAAGATCAGAAAAACAAAGTATCCAGCCACTGACATTTACTTCTACCTCAGTCCAAAAATGGCAATCCTGCCTCCAGGAAACCTCAGCAAGAGACTGAGACTGGCAGCTGTCTCCTCCCATTTTATAATCCTCCCTAGTTACGGATTAAGAGCATGCACCACTACCGCCTGGTTTCTATGGCAAGATAATATGGTTACTGGGATTAAAGGTGTGTGTCTTTGTGGCTACTGGGATTAAAGGTGTGTGTCATTGCTGCCTGGCCTGTTAGGCTGGCCAGTGTGGTTGTTTTACTTTCCTGATTCTCAGGCAAGCTTTATTTATTAAAATACAAATTAAATGCCACTACACCAATCCAACCACAAAACCCTTGCCCTACAATCTGTCCTGCCCACAAGATATGTTAGAGCAATGGTGCCACAGAACTTGTGGGAGTAGCCAACCAATGTCTGATTTGACTTATGGCCTACTTCGTGAGATGGAGCCCATACCCAACACTGCTTGGATGACCAAGAACCAGAGACTAGATAGCCCAGACACCTAGGGTAAAACTAAACACTACTGGTCTAAAAAAAAAAGTATCAATAAAATGACTATTAATGATATTCTGCTATACTCCTAGGTCAGTGTCTTGTCCGGTCATCATTTGAGAAGCTTCCTCTTCCAGCAGATGGGAATAAAGGCAGAGACTCAGAGCAAGGCATTGCACACAGAGAAAGAGTTCTTGGAATACAGCACTGTAAATGGGAGGTCTCCATCAAATCCCACCCTTCAGAGCACAGGAAAACTGGCAGAAGAGGAAGCAGAAAGATTAGAAGAGCCAGAGGAGATAGCCAGGAGAACAAGAACCTCTGAATCAACTAAGCAAGATGCATGTGAGTTCCCAGAGGCTGAAGCAGCAAGCACAGGGCCTGTACCCATCTGTAACAAATAATTACTCTGCGTATGTATTACAGTTCTCAGACTAGTACTCTTATGGGACTCCTGTGTGAACAACCGGGTCTCTGACTCTTGTGCCTGCTCCTGGGGATCTTTTTCTTGTGTTGATTTGCTTTATCCAATCTCAAAATGCTGGGTTTTGCTTTATCTTACTATGTTTTATTTTGTCATAGTTGGTTTTTATCTCTTAGAAGCCCATTCTCTTTCAATAAGAGACAGAAGGGAGCGGATCTGGAGGGGAGGGGGAGCCTGGGAAGAACTAAGAGGAGTGGGTGAAGGGGAAACAGTAATCAGGATGCATTATATGAGAAAAGAATCCATTTTCAGTAAAGGGGAAATAAAAAGGAAGAAAGAACAACCAGTAGCCTTACTTTCATGTAAATTTTCTACTTCATTGTTTCTACAGTGACTGAGGACCAAAGAAGTTGTAAGGAGGACAGACAGAAACAAGGAATAGAGTCAAATGGTATTTCTGCAATCTCTACTTTCCTTCAGTATACCAAATAATCTAATCTGAACTAAAATAGGTAGACATAAAGCTTTTGAGACAAGGTCTTACTATGTAGAGTTCAGGCTGGCCTGAAATTCACCTACCATGTGAACTAGGCTGGCCTTGAACTTACAGAGATCCTCCTACTTCTGCCTCTCAAGTACTGGGGTTAATGGCATATACCACAACCAGCAAGAAGGTTTTTACGTTTGTTGAAATATAATTATGTCATTTCTCTCTTCCTCCCAACAAATCCTCCCACATCCTCCCTTAAGGTCTCTTAAATCCAAGCCCTCTTTTTCTATGATTATTGCTGTTTCATATACATGTGTATGTGTGTGTGTGTGTGCGTGTGCGTGTGCGTGTGCGTGTGTGTGTTTGTGTGTGTGTGTGTGCGTGTGCATGCGTGTGTGTGTGCGTGTGTGTGCGTGTGCATGTGTGTGCATGTGCGTGTGTGTGCGTGCGCGTGCGTGTGCGTGTGTGTGTGTGCGTGTGCGTGTGTGTGTGCGTGTGCGTGTACAAACTGCTGAGTCCACTTAGTGTTGCTTGCATGTGTATGATTTCAGGGTGGGTCCCTTGATATTGGATAACTGATTAGCAGGCTCATCCACGTGAAAGACTAATTCTTCCTCTCAGTAGAAAATCCTTATCCAGTATCTCCAAGGAATCTGTTTTTCATTCATAAATGACCACGAAGCTGTGGGATGATGCTCTTGTACACTGTAAAGATTCGTCACTCATACTGGTTTAAAAAATGTTGATTGGCCAGTAGCCAGGTAGAAAGTATAGGTGGGATGACCAGACAAAGAGAATTCTGGGAAGAGAAAAGGCAGAGATGCAGTCACCACTAGACACAGAAGGAGGAGGATGAGAATGCCTTACTGAGAATAAGTACCAAGACACATGGCTAAATATAGACAAGCATTGTGGGTTAAATTAAGTTATAAGAGCTAGTTAATAATAAGCCTGAGCTAATAGGCCAAACAGTTTATAGTTAATATAAGTCTTTGCGTGTTGCTTTGGGACTGAATGGCTCTAGGACCGGGCAGAACAGAGACTCCTGTTTACATACTCACGTAGAGAAGCAGTGAGAACAAATGAGAGATTCACCATGTGAATCTGGTTTTGGTGTTCATTTCTTTCTTTCTTTCTTTCTTTCTTTCTTTATTTATTTATTTATTTATTATGTATCCAATATTCTGTCTGTGTGTATGCCTGCAGGCCAGAAGAGGGCACCAGACCTCATTACAGATGGTTGTGAGCCACCATGTGGTTGCTGGGAATTGAACTCAGGACCTTTGGAAGAGCAGGCAATGCTCTTAACCGCTGAGCCATCTCTCCAGCCCTTGGTGTTCATTTCTTGAATCAAGTAGATTGAGATGAAATGTTTGAAAACATTATTTTACTCTGTATACAAGGGTATTATAAAATGTTATCTGTACCTAAACAATGCTAATCTTCTAGATTCAATTATCATAAAGACGTGCCAAGTCAGAGTCTCACGAGGAGATTTTAATCTCTGAGTAAGACTGGATGGAATAGCTGTTATATTAAATAAAAGCGAAGGAATTTCCTAAGCGATGGCCATGTTTGACCCATGAGAAGCCCAGTATCTTTATTTACACTAGCCTACAAATCCCTGGGAATCAACAGAAGTTTAATGAAATAATTTATACAAAAACCTTTTATAGACTACACTGGATATGGGAAGATGAAATGATATTTGCTGATGAGGATAAGACGGCTATAAAATAATCTAAAGTAAGTTATAAAAAAGCATAGTATTTACTAAACAAATCATTGCTTATATCGTCTTAGACATAAGATTGCACTACAGATTGGCTCAAGAATTTATTCATGCCCTATGTCTCAGAGATGCTGAAAGGCATTGGTTGGATTTTAAGTTCACCTTTTTTGGATTTTATGAAGCCCATTCAGAGTGAGCCAGGTTGAGAACACCACCAATTCCATGTTCTAGGTCCATCTGTTGGCAAAAAAATATAAGGCAAACAGCTTTATAAGTGCTATTTTCAATGAAATATCACAGAACAGCTTGTCCCAGTGATATTTCTAAAGCTTGCCTGCAAACCGCCTACTGGGAAACCCAACAGAAAGAGAAGGGGGGTGAGGAAAAAACATACAGACAAGTGACAGGAATTGAAAAAAAAAATGAACAAAGGGTAAAGAAATAAGGTAAATTACCAAGGATGAGAGCACAGGAGGACACTGTGCGGATTAGTAGTGGAAGATCTAACACGACAGCGTTAGACGCCTCAAGGGAGGGAGCAGTGGAGAGCAACTGGACAAACCCCAGAGAAAAAGCACAAGCAGTGCATCTTGCCCAGAAAAAGCTTCAGAACACAGTAGCAGCTCAAGAACCACAGCATCATTACTAAAATACTGAGGAAAATGCCGAATGAACGTTTATTTTTCTACACTTCATTTAATCCTTCTCCTAATATAAAAGTTCATTTTCCAAGCGCTAATAGAGATCTCAGCATCTATTATGAACTTTGTGGGAAGCAAACAGCCTATTTCGAGTCTTCTTCTTTTAATACACCAATCTGTTATAAATCACACAACAGCCCGAGCACAGTTTACGTGTATCAGCTCAGAAACATTACAGTGCAGATGACGTCATGCTAGGTACTTCCTTACCTGCGGTCGGATAACTTTTACTATGTTCTTCAGGGCAGTGTCGGGGGATGGGGGTGAGCAGTCAGGTGTTGGGCCTGTAGAGCTGCTTCTATGGTGACCAGTTCCCGGAGCAGTAATTGCTACCTCAGAGGCATTATCTGCGAGTAAAAATAGAACTTCCATGAACTTAGTCAGTTTACCCCTCAAGACTTGAAATTATTTTTTTGTGAATAATTTGTGAATAGGTGTTGAGATTTTTTAACATAAAACTGGTATCAATTATAATAGCATAATTAAAAATATGCTCAGTGATGTATTTGAAAAGAAATACATACTAATTGTTCTGTTTTCTTATAAGAGGATGAATATTAATTCTTGACATTGTCCTAACATGAATGAGCAATATTCAATTCATAGCGGCAGATCATCATCCACAGTTCTTAAGACTACCACTGTTATATGGAAGACCACAACCTAACCTTGACAATGAGCATAGTTTTTCCATATGATGGGTCTGGTCAACAATTCCCATAATCTTTTTAATAAAAGCTCATTTTTATTAAGTAAGGATTTCGTATCAACTTGGGTCCTAGAACCCACACTCAAGCCCATAAAGTAACTTTGCCCAGCCATTTTTAAATCGGAACTTTAATAACAAACTGACATTTCTATAAAACATAAACAAATTTATCACTACTAGATAATCACAGAAGCCTGCATGTTCAAAATTAAAATAATTGAAATTTCAAGCTCTAAATGAACCTTCCCTGGTGTTTAGCATTTGACAGTGGGAGGAACAGAGAGTTTTAAAAGAAATAATTTAGAATTCAGCATCTTGTGTAATATTTTCCTTTTCAATTAATTCTTAAAGTAACACCGGAGGTACAGTTTGGAAATGTCTGAAGTACTTTGAAATGAATGGAAAATAATACAGCTCTGATGAGCACGCCGAAAGCACATGTGCTTGATAATAAACTGGCAGTCTTTTGTGGCTTTTAATGAAAACTATTGCAAGTGGGAGTCTGCAAGAAGTTCATCTCTGTTATGTTTACACTTGTGTCCAACAATTTTATGTCCCAGACAAATGAACTAATGCAAATTAGACTAAGACTGTGTTTACTTTAGATGAGCATGTTTCTCTGTTTTATGGCCATTGCTTATAGACCCAAGGGAACAGGGATCATTTATAAAGACACCTGTGTTCCTAAGAAGAAAGGGTCTAATTCCCTTAATTCTGTGTCCATCAGATAAAAACGCGATTCAGGACCTTGGGAGGTGGTTTAGTCAGTAAAGTGGTTGCCGCACAGGCATGAAGACACAAATTCAGATTCCCAACATAAAAGAAGGGGTTATGGCATATGTCTGTAATTCCAGCACTTGGGTGGCATCAGGGAAGGATCAAAGGGTCCCTGGAGATCACAGAGGCCAGGTGGCACAGCCAAGTGATGTGATTCAGATGTAGTTAGAGACCATGTTTCAACAACGGAGGAGGAAAGTGATTGAGGAGGACACCTGCAGACAAACTCTGGCCTTAACATGCATGTGCACACAGATGAACACTCATCCCCCTGCACACATCCTCATAAACACACACAATTAATTTAGTTTCATTGGAGAATCATGAAACAAAAAAGCAAATGTGGAATATTTGAATTAAATGGATCATTCATAAAGAGTTTTGAACTGTATGGAGCACCCTTCTAAGATTCAATAGATAATGTAGACTGTGGAAAGAGAGGGCAAATGGACAGAGCACAGAGGACCCCTACAGCAGAGAAGCTATGCTGTAGGTATTATTTGGGTTGGTTTATGCTATTTTACCTCTGCCTAAACCAAAGAAGTGAAACTCCAAAAGTGAAGACCAGATTAGATCATGAGCTTCGGACAATCACACAGAATCTGTGCAGGCATTACCACGTACAGCGAACACACCATTCCCGTAAGGGATGATGATGGTGGTGGGAGACACAGAGACATATGGGAACTCCATATATGCTCAGTCTTCCTATCTAAATATCTAATCTACCTAAGTCTAAAATATCTAATCGTTTTTCCAATATAGGCTGATTTTCTTTTTTAAAAATTAATTCTGTGATGTACTGAATGTTAATAGACTTCTTTCTTAAACTTGAAAGAAGTCTAAGATGGCTAAGGTCCTGCCCTAGAGAATTACAAGGGCCAATTCACATCAGGAGAAATGAATAAGGCTATATGAAAACACATACTCTATTTTATTGCTTCCAATACTGCCTTTTCTATTGTGCCTTATTGTACAATGAATCAATATTAGATGTAATTTATCATTATTATTAACGCAGCCTATACTTTATTGTTCATACTGTTTCTGTATTACACTCACAATTGCCTTTTATATTTATTTTCCAGTTTATCTTTTTTTTCTTCAGCTGTATCTATTCTGCTGGCAAACTCCTAATTTCAATTATATTTTTAAATTCTAAAATTCCTCTCTATTGCTTATTAGATCTCCCATACCACTCCCCGACATTGTTCATTTCCCACATCTTTTAAGCTTGGCTTTTATTTACTTGAAAATGGCAAGTATTGATTGTTTTAGTGTATGTGTGTGTTTAGACAGAATTTTTAAAATATTTCCAATTCAGCGTGTAAAAACTGTAAACATTTATAGGGTACACGGTGATATTTCAGGATCTCTACACAATGCGCAGAGCCTGCATTCGGATAATTAGCTGATGAATCATCTCAAGCATTTATCATTGTTTTGTACTGTGAATAGCTGGAGGTGGGTTGGAAAAAGGAGAATGGAGAGAGGAAATGAACAGATGCTGAGAGACAGATAGGCAGGACAAAGAACTTCTAAACGTGTAAAAATCTGAGTCTGATTGCTACAATACTGAGTCTTCAATGATCTGTGAGGTATACTAGTTTGCTTCACAGCTCATCTCCACAGTCATTTTATGCTTCACTCAGGTCATTGAAGAAAAAACATCTAGAGCATTAGACATAACTTATTTTCCTCTTCCTCCTCCTCTTCTATCACATATTAATTCAAAATAGCATCTAGATTTGCATTCAAATACTAATGCTGAATTCTGCAAAAAGCATACGTGCGTACCAGACAGCATATTTAATCTTTCTGCTTTTGGTGTTCTTTACTATAAAAAAGAGCATTGTTACAATTCTTATCTGCAGCCTCTGTGTGCAGATGAAATGAAAGACAGCTAACCTACATGTAATTAGGCCTATACAAGTTTAATAAAGGTTTATTTTTCTATCAAAGTGAATGTCACAGTTAAAGTGAGGGAGAGGAAACCAACTCCACAAAGTAAGAAGACATCTAAATATAGTGTATATACAGAAACAGTCTTGAGACGTTGGAGCAGCTTTTCAATCACATCTTTTATTTGTTAATACAGATTAGTAGAGACAAAATGTAATTTCAGAAGTAAAAGATGGTCTCTTGAGGGACTCTCAGAGAAAATGTACTAGAAATGTCTACACATGCAAAAAAGATTTTCTGTCAAGATCACAGATTACAAAGGCAGAGGGCTCAAGATCGGCAGCTGTTGGCTAGAAATATAGAAGAGCCAATACCCAATTCTACTTTGACTCCAAAAGACAGAGAAACATCAAACTTGCAGGCTTTGCTCTATCAGAAAGGCTAACAAGCTCGAAACCCTAGGAGGGCCAACTGTGAAGTGCAGAAAACACGAATGCTCTCCCTCAATTCCTCTTTCTCAGCCTGTTCTCTCTTCTCAGCTCTTCAGTCAACTGGATAAAGTCTACACACCAAGAAACACAAGTCTGTCTACCATTCAGATGTGAAGTTCATCCGCAAACAACCTCAGAAAACTCTGAGAAGTGCTTTGCCAAGTGCGGGCGCCCTGATGGGCAGTTAGGTTGACACACAATTATCCACCATGGAAATGACTCACTACCAGGACTCTGGCCTTAATCATTGTTTCTGTTGCTTGTTTGGTTTGTTTTATGTTTTGGTTTTTTGAGCATTAAAGTTAGGATAGAATGATGAAAGCTCCGTACAAATATAACCCAAAAGATTCTTCAGTGTTTGAAACAGTTTAACAAAATATAAAACACTGGGTAATCAAGGACTAAATGGCTTAGCAAACACAAGTGTAAGTATCTACATTTTCTGAATCTGTTATCGTCTTAGCCATTTGATTTTATACTACATCGATTTTGCATTGTTTATCACGTAGACTCATTTCTCTTATCCTCTGTGTGACTTACTTTAATGCAGTCTTTAAGAAATACTCAGTGAGATAAGATGGACCAAGCAAAACCTGTGCCAAACACAAGCATCCCAATGTTCTTAGTAATGCAGAGAAAGACGATCTGGTGTCTCTGGTTCTATGTTCATTCTTTCAGGGGAAAAAAAATTAAAAAACTAAATGGAGGGTATTCTAGACTTCTGACGTATACATAAAAATCTTGGGGAATAAATTTCACCCTAAAATACCCTTGATATATCATTTAGGTACTTACCCAGTGGACTCCACAATATGAAGCCTAAGTCCAAGGCCAGTGTTCTGTGTTCTACCTGCAGTTGGTGGCAAGGATAAAATAAAGTGGGGAAAAACTGCCTAGAGGGAATCGCTAGGTGTACCTGGAGTTTCAGATAGAAATGAAACTCTGCTCAGCCTAAGTTACTACACAATAGGTTAGACATTGTGACTGTTAGTTTTCCCCAACATGATAATCTTAGAAATAGTAGTTTATTTACAAGATAAATACCTTGCCAATACAAAATAATCCATGTGTAAGGTTACAGTGTGTATCTGCCACATCCTTCTCTGGAGTGTACTGAACAGTTAACGGATGCAAAGGACAACGCTTGGTACATACACCTGACAAATGAGATTGAGGTTTCTTCCAACTGGGAATTTAGGAAAGATACCAAGAAGTAGAAAGATGAATACACAAACTGTAACTTCAATACAGAAGCTAAAATATTGGTCTTATATAAGCAGAGGCAGAATATCAGAGGTTTGGTTCAATGAAGGGGGTGGAGAGTGGATGATTAATGAATACAGAACGTAGCTGGATATATTTTATAGCACTGTGGGTCCCTTTAGCTGACAGTAAGTTATGCATACTTCAGAAAGCCAGAAGAGAGAAAATTCAATGTTCCCAACAGAAGGACATGACAAATGCTTGA